CGCTGGTGATGTCCATCTTCCATATAACTGAGTTGTATTCTGGTTTACTCTGAACTGAAAATGTAATCACCCATACGCAATGTAACTGAAGGGTTCACTTTTTTTCTTGTGTTCACTCTTCTTGTACATAATGTGTTGTGAAATAGCTGCTTAACGTTGCCCATTTTTATTACTTTTTACTCATTTTTGTGGGTTGTATCATTATGACAGGAGCAAGCTCAGTAAAAATGCCAACTGTGATTTGAGTATCACACGAGGTTTCATCCTCTTTTAACTTGTGAGTATATGCTTGTTACCATATATCTGTGAACATAACAGTTCTTTTCCTTTTTTCTCTGTTGAATTGCCAACGCCTAAGAAATGGAAATCCATGAAGTCACTAACTAAATAAGGAGATGAAAGTCATGAAACTGAAAATCTAGAACCAAGTGAGCTTTTGACGCAGAGAAGTAGAGAAAAAAAGAAGAGATTCACATGAATGCACATGATCACCGAAATCCATACGAATCTTGGGGTCATTAAGGGGTTTGATCTTTATATATTAAGTATCATTAAATAAAAAGTTCAATTAAATAAATTACATAATTTCACATGGATTTATACTTTAGTATCATTGGGGTCAGATGGTACTATTCTTGGGAAAATTTCATGACTAAGAAGATATCTATTACCCATTTCAAAAGTAAGAATATAAGTTTCAAATTTCAAAAATCAGATATTCATTAAATTTTATTTATAATTTAATTAATTAATTATATATTTTATTAATTTAATATATTAAGATCACGGATCTATACAATTTAATCATAGATTCACGATTTAATTAGTCACATTATTTTTCGATCACAAATCAAAATTTTTAATGTCACAATTCAAAACTTTTATAGGTCACAAATTTGTTCGTTGATCACAAATAAAAAATTTATATGTTACAATTTATTTATAGGTCACATATCACAAATATTATAAGTCACAGATTACAAATATTATATGTCACAACTTATTAAATAGTCGCAAATTATAAATTTTTTAGATCACATTATATTTTGATCAATTTATCTTTCTTATTAGTCACATTAATCATAGATTAACTAATTTATTGGTCACAATCAACTAATTAATAATTAATACGTGACCATCACCAATCAACTACCGCTTCCAACATCACCAACGCCACTGTCATCGTTGGAACCACCTCCATCATCACCCTACAGCAACACCACTGTCTCAAACAAAATCAACACATCACCGCCACACCGCCACACTATCACCTACGGCAACACCCCCGACCACAGCCACACACTGCCCCACCATCCCAAAACTAACAAAGACCACCAGCACAATCGCCAACAACAACCAATCAATCTGTGGCCATCACCAAACGAGATCATCGTTACCACCACAACTACAAACAAAACAGTCGTCCAAACACCAACAATCACCCCAAAACCAACAAACCAATTAACCTGATTAACTACCACCAAACAACCAATTAACCTAATTAGAGAAGTGTTTGGCGGTGGAAGGAATGCGGTTGGATTGGAGAAGAGAGAGGAAGATGGAGAAGATCTTCGATCCGATCTATGAACACCGAGTCTTAAGTCGATCAATTTGAAAGAGTAGATAATAGGGAGTCCCGGCCACCGGATCGGATGGTGGAGACAGTAGTCTCGAAAAGCTTGCCTTCGACGTTGAGCTTGATGCCGTCCTCCATGTACAGTTGTTATTGGGAGCTTATTGCTCGGGATCAATTCACAATCTGCCGTCGTGAGTGACAATGGTGCGAGGAAGGAGTGGCGGCGACGTTGTGAGTGGCTGTGGTGGAGGGAGGAGAGAAGATGAAGAGAGGGGCAAAATGGTGGAGGGGGAGACGGCTACGAAAAGAGGGGAAAATGGTGGAAATAATTTTAGGGTTTGGGATGAAAATTGTATATTTAATATTTAATATTTAAATATGATATTTGAAAGTTGAAACTTGTTATCTGATTTTAGAACTCACAATTTTAAAAGTATGGTTTTTTGTAATTTTTACATTTTTTTTTTTGGTTTTGTTTTTTAAAATAAAAACATCAATAAAATTGTAATATCGCAAAAGCAATATTAAACTATTCTGAAAAATTGAAGTGTTCTTAAAACGTTATTTGTTGTTACAACTTTGTATTTTTTGACATATATAATTTGCTGTAACTTTCTTTTATTTTTTATTTTTTTTTATTTTTTGGCAGTTTTATACGTTCGTAATTTTCTAAAGAAACCTTACGTTTTAGAAGTTACATTTACATTTAAATCATGTTACAGTGTATGTAATTTATTTGAAATTGCAATTTACATTATGTGTTATTACTGTTTACATTATATTTATGATTTTTTGAATTTATAATTTATTAATTCATGCACCACCTTCTCAAAAATTGTATCTGCATTTCCCACTGCCACCACAAACTCTGAAGCCTTTGAACAAAGAATAATGTGGAAATTACGTCTACCCTTGATTTCTAACTTCTCAAATCAAAAATAAGATTTACAACTTATTTATTCAAAAATCTGATCATAATAATTCGATATTTTAATATTAATAATGATACTATTATTATCTATAATTAATCTGCCATTTCCATTCCACCTACCTTACAAACTCTTCATTTTTACATATTTCTCTCCACCACCGTCATTCCCGACGCCTCTTTACCCACTCATCTCCTACAAATCTTCACCACTCTAGTGCGACAACAGATGCAACCGGTGGCGTCTATGCCACTGCAGTTCATGGTTGGTACGGTGCGGTGAGGTGGTTGGTGCGCTCCAGTGTCGTTACTGCGACCTCGTCGACCGGATTTGGTATTGTGACCAATGGTTATACTGTGATTTTGGATCTGGTTTTGCGGTAGTTGTGCAATTATCTTTGGATCTGATTTTTTGGTGGCTGTGGAGTGATTTTGGGATGTGTTTTGTTGGTAGTGGTGGCGAGGTTGCGATGGTTATTGTGGTACAGATTTTGGTCGGTGTCGCGCATGACATGGCACCTTTACTGCAGCATTCACCATGCAATCTAGGACAAATCTGGAGTTTTTGGGTAGTTGGTGGAGGTGGCAGTGATAGGGGTTGTGGTCATAATTGATAATTTTGGTATGATTTTTGTTGATGTTTGAGTGGTGATGATTGTAATTTTGGCTGTGGTGGTGGTTTTGGTGGTGGCGACGGTGGTGCAGTGGTTGTGGGTGGGATGGCATGGGGTGTGTGGGGATAGTTTGTGACCCATTATTTGATGAATTGTGACCTATAAATTGATTAATTTGTGACTAATTAATAACATGTGACCAATTATTTGGAATTGTGAGTTGTGCCCAATAAATACTATGTGATCGATAATTTATGATCAATAAATAGTACATGGCTTAAAAATTTGATTTGTGACTTGTAAAATTTGTGATCTATAATCGATAAATAAATTATAAATTATAATTTTTTTTGATTGTGACCTACAAAATTTTTTATTCGTAACCTAGAAATAATTTGTAATTAATTAAATTGATAATTTGTGATCAAATAGTATAGAATTGTGATCTTAATATATTAAATTAATAAAAAATATTTTTAATTACTTATTTCATAAATAAAATTTAATTAATATCTGATTTTGAAATTTTAAACCTTGTTTCTTAATTTTGAAATGGATCATAATTAATCTCTTAGATATGAAATTTTTCCCGATCTCTTTTGAATTTCTACCTCACTTATTTCAAATATCCCATTTGCATGAGGAAAAAATAGATAAAAAAAACTCACACGCGTAGAGTAATTCAATTAATAAATTTTGTGAAAAACAGAAACTAAAGGGTCCAATTTGAAGCACAAACAAAAAATGGAGGATTGAATTGAGGCATTTTGAAAAGTCAGGGACTGATTCAAAACCAAACCAAAACTTCAGGGACCAATTTACAGCATATTAAAACACAAGCAAGGTAACTGATCTTACACACATCTTCATAAGGAAATATCCAATTACAAGTCTAATTGAGACTGACGTGAACTATTGGGTTTAAGGGTGTGTACTTAAAGTAAAGAAGCAACTACTCTTCCCGATAAAAATGAAGGGCATATGCAGAGCTGGTCCTATGTTTGACGGACCCTGAGGCGAATGATGAAAATTAGGCCCCCAGCGATAAAATTCAAAAGTATATTAAGGATGTTGTTTTGTTGTTGGATAATTAGTTTTGGGCCGGCTCACCTTATACCGGGCCTGTTTCTATGCAAAACGATACTACACAAGGATTTTGTTTGATATATTATATCAAGATAGACAATATTATAGGGAATTTGGAACAAAGCAGTCGAGACATAAATTAAAATATCATCATTTATCGTCACATTTAATTATTAATTTATTTTTTAATATTACTTTGTTTCTTTTGATACCTTGTATGTCATGCGACATAACTCAAGAACGTGATATCATGAAACATAAGATATGAAAACGAAATTTAGTACCGATTTTTATTGTAAGTTTATTGTTCTGTAGGTTAGGTCTAATTCTTCAATTGGTTACTTTAAAATAAATTAATAATTACTTTCACGTAGAACTAACGTAAGTCGTGAAAGACAATAAAAGCGTCAGCATGAATTCTTTAATTAATTAGGGTTTTTGCTTTTGGCCCATGATTGATTTAGCTAAAAAAAATAAAAAAAAATTAATAAGTTTTAAATTAAATTCGACAATTAATTTTAATCCCGCATTTCATGGAACCAAAGGCCAAAACTTTTATCAATTTTTTAATCACACATTTCATCTTTTTTTTTTTTTTTTTTATAAAAATTTAAAAAAAAAAAAAAATAATAATAATAATAATAATAATAATAATAATAATAATAATAATAATAATAATAATAATAATAATAATAATAATAATAATAATAATAATAATAATAATAATAATAATAATAATAAATGATTTTTAACCAAATCAAACGGGGGTTAAGTTTTAACGATAAAATCTTTCACATAAACACAAGGAGTAACTCATTTTTTGTTCACTAAAACTTGAAAACACAGCACAATTACCTTTACAGGTATATGTATATTTCTCATTCATGCATGCAGCATCTGAATCCTGTAAATGCATACATACATATATATATGCAGGATGACCTAACTAAGGCTCGTTTGGTAAAGTGGATTGTATGCAGTATCTTGCTTATTTTACTCTACCAAACATATATAATTTAAGCTCGAAAAAAGTGAGCCAAATTAATTAGGAGGAGCCTCCCGCTGATAAGAAATCTATATATGGTAAGCCATTTTTCTGCTGCTCCACTTCAATATCATCTTTCTTTGCATGGTCTATCACTTCACTTTTGTTCGATTCTGTATTTACTTGGAGAAAATCATAGAACTCCACTGCCTGACTTTTATCTGCAATTTCAAATTATATTTCTATGAATATCGTACTAATTATAAGCTTATAAGAAGCAGAACAGTAAGAAAACTAGTGTACTTAGATAAATTCTACATGCATAATGGCTAGCATGTTTTTTTGGTGTCTATTTTGACACATTTTGTGGAACCAACAAATTAAGATTGTCGTTAATCAGATAACTGCTGCTACTTTACACTGATCAATCTTGTGTTTTACCACGATTTTATTCTTTCTGCCGTGGAGAGATTGCCTCTACCTTTTGGGAAGGTGGAAGCGAAGCCAGCTCTACGAAGAAACCAACTATTCTCGATCTATATCTTCCCACATTCATTTATCCGCCACTCATTTCTATTTATTTTAAATGTAAACTGATTATTGCAAAACCAAAGTTACTTTTTTCAAATTTAAACATGTTTTTAAAGTTGAATAACATATCCAAATATGTATGAAAACTAAAAATCACTTTTTCTTGTTCTGAAGTTTAGCTGTACATGCTTGAAGAGAAGGAAAAGAAGAGTTAAATTCTTTTATACATTCTTTTTAGGATAATGAAAAATAGAGATATGCTACATGTACAAAATCATTTTGCCAAAATGGTGTCAGATTCATACATGGCAGGATTTCATTGGCAATTGTGTCAAAAATATTTTTTAACCATCCAATCACAAATTGCCAAGTATGCCTTGATCGATTTTGCAAAAAATCAATTTTTGCTATATTTTTGACAAAAAGTTGATGAATTATTTGATTGAAAATGTGATAAAATTTGTGTTTTTCGTGATGTGATTGAAATGAGTTTGAGAAAAAAGTATGTTTTAAGAATTAGAGTCCAAAGAGGTACTTAGAAAGGAAAAATTAGACGAATGGAACAATTCCCTCTCGGTAGCTTCATGTTGACCCTTTCTTGGTCATCTCATATTAACATATTCATTTGTCAATCGCTTCTAAGGCGTACATAATTTTCATGAATAGATATATAATAACATAACTTTTTAAGTCAAGACTCGTCCAAAAACTTAAATACTTTTAGATTTATTGGTTCACACTTATCACCCACTCATCTATTCCCTTTTATATGTCAAAACACAAACTTAAGCAATTTTCGTACTTCCGAATGATAAGGACCACACCAAACATTACCTTGATCGATCTTCATATGATGAATAAGAGTGTCAGGATGGAGCTCCTTCCAATACATAGGTTTCAGGTTATATATTTGTGGGCAATCAAATTTCTTGGAATATCTGTCTACAAATGAAGGAGTAAAGCTCATTTCTTTGACATGCTTTGAGGGCGATTCTCGATCGCAATCCAATGCTTGTGAATTAGCTCTTTTCGCGTAAATTTTCGACGTCTCTCTACATTTTCGTGCCATGATAACGTGCCAGTGATTCTTCACAGCATTATCAGTTCGTCCTGGAAAATGCCTAGCAATTATAGCCCACCGGTTCCCATGAATCCGGTGGCAAGCAAGAAGCCGCTCTTCTTCCTCTTCGCTGAATGGATTCCGGTTTATTCTTGGATCCAACTGATTGAACCATCTCAGCCTACAACTTTTCCCTGATCAATAAAATTATTAAAAACACATAATAACATTTCCATATCATATTAAATTTTCAAACCCTAAAAACAAGTTACTGCTGTGATCTTCCATGGAACCTTGTGGTAAAATTTGTCTTATTGTGCAAATTTTTTGTTATTGTGTGTGGGTGGGGTGCCATGTATACAAGATGCATGTTAATTCACCTGATCTTCCCTGTAGCTTTTCAGCTATGGCATTCCAGTTATGAGGTCCATATCGTTCGACTAATTCCCGGAGTTTCATATCCTCAGCAGGCCTCCAATGGCCTCTGCTGCACATGATCTATATATATATATGGAATACCACAGTATCTAAATATATGAAGAAGACACTGTTGAGAAAACCTAATTCGAACTCGAAAGCCCGTCTTCCTTAATTTCTGGCAAACACGATCAAGATTTATGGTACAGATTAACAAGAAAATATGTTGAACAGAAACTAAGGAAGGAGATATGGTTCGTATTAAAGATTCACGTTGGAGGAAATATATGAAGATAGAGAACTGGACAAGGAGAGAATTAATATATAAGGGAGATGACAAGTTTTTTTCCGTTAGAGAATGTAAGAATTTGGACAGACCACCATTAGTGATTGATGCAAGTTCTAGGCTAACAACCACTTGCAACTCCTATATATAATTAAGATTTATAAATAAAAAGGTTGCTTGGTAGGGTAAATGTCGTTTTCCTTTCAACGTCTTTCCAAATTCTAACCTACAATACCCACAAGCTAGCTAATAGTTGTTATTTCCTTCTAACTGTTTAATGTAACATATAACTAAAAATAAATATCTTGGACCTGTAAGACTCTAGTTAATCGATTCACAAACGAAAAAAAAAAGGGGAAAGAAAGAAAACTTAATTATTTAATTTTTTGAACTATTATTTCGATCATGTTTTAACCATATCTTTTCCATGTCAATATGGATTATAATTAAAATATTGATTTAGCCCCAATTTGTTATGGATTCCACCCCAACTATCTCTCTCTCTCTCCCCCCCCAAAGGTTAGGTTCTTGCATAATCTTGAATTTGAGTGTATGAAACTTACGCCCTTTAATCCTGCCTTGTACATTTTTCGCTCCTCTTGAACTCTTGACAAGTTCTTTCGATTTTTTGTTATTACAAAATAGGACAATGTCTCAAGTTCTCAATTTATGCATGGTTTTATAAATAGCCTTACATGTCTTCACAAAAATATGAGTAATATGGATGCATTGAATCATGGAAGATGATTGGCATACTCAAATTCCAGATTGTATATGCTAGAACTTAACATTTGGGTAGAAGATAGATTTAGCTATATATACATGGAGAGTGAAAAACCAATAGAAGTCTTTGGAACTTAGGATTTATAACAAACTGACGTTAATTTTAATTAAGTTTTGTTTTCATTTATAAGATAGTGAACACCCCATATGAAGGATAACCCAAATTAAGGAAACTTTCTGTGCTAATACTTGTTTATGCCGGGAATAAGACTTCTTTTTTACCGTTGGCCTACCATTCTTTTGTTAAAACTTAAAATAGAAACTCCATATCTCACCCACCATTTGTACAAATGAAACTTGCAACTAATCAGCTTTCTTCAACTACACATCCATGTCTCTCCCTTCGTCCCCACACCAACATTCATCACATATGCTAAGCGAAGAAAAATATCGAAGGGGACAAAATATATTTAAGTATTTTGTATATTAGTAAAAAAAAATCAAAATGTCGACATATATCTAATGAAAGAATAATATTATTTGCAATCACTTACTACTGCAGTCGCTCTTCGTGGCACTCATGTGGCGGTTAATTATTTTATATATGCGGCAAGAAAAAACTATTACATTAATACATCAAATCACAAACTGTCATATAGAATGTCATTTAGGACAACTATCTCAGTGAACAACTATGAATAGCATTACTCTTAAAGAAAATCTCAAAATGTTGAGGGAGTAGTCACCACCCCGCCCCCTAGCTTCGCACTACATGTATGTATGTCAGATATGTGTATATAGAAGCATGAACACTACGAAAAAGCACGGCATAAGTTCGTTTATGTTTTCACGTACATGGAGGACGACCTGACTATTTACCAGTTTAGCACGGCATAAGTCTGTTTATGTTTTCACGTATATGGAAGACGACTTGAATGTCGACCGGTTTTACCTACTTCATTTCTAAATCATCAGCAAATCGTCTTTGTTACCATATTTTTACTATAATAAAAGTTCATAAACTCATAAGTCATGTTTGTAAGTAAATTTTCTTTTATCAGTTCCACCTGGAGGACTCTGCTTTGCATATATCTCATCTGATTTTGACACATTAGTTTGCACCTCAATGAGGATATATGATTTCTGAGACAAGAAGTAACCTCAACTTCTCAACTGCAAATTAAACTACTGAAAGCTAACGGTCGAACCATTTGAAGAAACACTGGTTTTCTTCTATATATAGGATTGATTGTATTGTTCACCTACCTGACCTAATTATGCATTTGCTGCTACATGAATTCTAAATGTATATGGTTTTGCCATATTTTCTGCCCCTTCATTATAAGAATCACAACTAATTAGCCCTCGTCGCCAATAAAATCAGGATCGGCTAAAAGATTATTTTCATCATGGGGTTTCAATAGCTCTTGGGAACTAGAAAGAATGAAATTAGCATATGCTAATTTAGTTAATATGCTTTTGAGTATGACTTACTTTTCATGAGCTTGTTGATATTAGGTACACGACAAGGATATAAATGTCCTTACTGCTATGGATACATTCCTTAATTAGGAGCATTTTTATACTAACCTTATTTGATGGAAACCTTTGGACTGCCTTCTTAATATGTTGTTCATATATTATTTTACAAGTTCCAATTGAGAACATAATATTTTCTTAAAGTATCGTGATACAAGTCTTGTCACAGGTTGAAGTAAGAATACTCTATCAATAATAGGACAACCAATGCACTTATAAGTTCCACATTGACTAGTAGACATGAGAATGAACTTGGGTTAGGTTAACCTTTTGGGACTAAACCAAAATTGCTACAATTTATCAGTCATGCTTCAACTCAGCCATGTAGATGTGTAAGATGAATTTTCAGCAGGTAAGGTCTTAAGGAATGTGTGGGCCTAATTAGTTGACATGGCCAAAAAATAGATGGTTGGTCTCAAAGTAGTTGTGAAACGTAAGATCTTGATGGAGCCAAATTTGAAGAAGATGAACATGATAAAATAGTACTAAAAAGGTGACATTGGGTAAGAGAGAGCAAAAAACCTCATATCAACTAGACTCGATGATAATTGAGTTCAAAAAAAATAAAAATACTCTAAAAAGGATAAAATTCACCTCTCCCGCTCTACATGAAAGACATGCTCATGAGAAAACTCACAAAGCTCCCGTTTCGTTCCCATGTTTTAAAATTCATTTTCAGCTACACATTTCATAAGATCCACAATTTTTATCGACTTTTCAACTAGACATTTCATCATTTTTTAAATCAAAATCTACTAAAATTATAATTTTTAGCTAGACCAAACAAGAGTTAGATCTCCGCATTTGAAGCAAAGTAGAAAAGAAACCAAATAAATTGACAAGTTTAACTTTCAATGTATTATTAACTTATCATCATTTCTGGATACAAGTTAATGAGTTGAAGAAATGCTCTTAAAACCGTATCTTTCGGCTAAAGTGTTGAATAGCTCAACAATCTCACTAATCCATGATGATTGCTACAGCTTGTCACTCCAAAAATTGACTGATGGAGGGGCAATATTAATATCTATCCTCATCACACAAGAACGAGGGAATACCATGATTAGTTCTTCAACGACACTCAAGAACAGAAGCCACTAAAAGAAAGAAACTTTTGTTTTCCAATCAAAAAGCTACACGCACATATATATGCACATACATAGACACGCGCTTGCACACACATGCTCACTAGTTTTGAGTACTTCATATCACACAAATTCAGAATGAGATGCAGTGTACCTTGTGAATTTTGATTTCGACTTGAATTAGCAGTCATGTATGAAATGATGATGCTTAACAGAAAATGGATGCTAGAATTAAACCATGTGGCCGTAGTCTAAGAGCAATGAGGATAATAGAGAATAAAACACATTTGACATTGATGTTAGACCATTTACACATCATCATCAAGCTTAAGTCGTTCATGAAAATCAGTTTCTATTATTTATTTTGAAAATCCTGTAGACCTTTGCTTCATTAAACAGTTTACGGGAGAGAAAAAAAATCTAATTAACTCAAAGCTGCAATTAAGAATTTTGCTTAGTTGCCCTTTAGATCAATCAGAAATGAGTAAACACCATAAAAGAATGAAAATAATACTTTGAGTACAAATTATACTCTTCTAATATAACTAGATGATACAAGGATGGCAACTGATTTTTATCAGTGGCATAATTTAACATTCTTCTGTATAATGAATAATTAACCTTCTTTAGTACTACTACAATGAAGTGTTCTTGAGAGCAAGGTTGATGTTTCAGTGTTCTTTATATCCCAAGACTGAAGCAATTTCTATGTACTTACAAGGCTGATAATTCAACTTCCCGAGTGCAAGGTCGATATGCCACAAAGGTAGAGTCATTTGAGAAGGAACCAGGATTAAAGCATGTAATTCCTGTGTATTTGAATGCCTTCTGCTCACTTCTATCCCCCAACACTATCTGCATGGAAAACAGAGAAACAGCTTTATTCCAATTTATACTTGTCCGACATCATTAATAAAATAATAAATATAGTTTGATCACAGAGAATGCTGGTAGTACAATAAAGTAATAATCAGTTAGATCACAGAGAATGCTGGTAAGGAGTACGTTTTTCCAATATCACATCTAAATGAGTTCAAATTAACTCAAAAAAATTTAAAGCGTTATTTTCATGTTTTATATTGAATATGTTCGAGCATGGAATGAGAGACCATCCTGCCACTGCGTTGGACCTTCAGATCATAGTTAAACAATTACCAAAGCCAGGAGACGGATCCTCTTGATCTAGATATGCCACCTTTTTGGAGAATGAAGACTTAAACAAGAACTTCGTTGACTCAAAAACTTTATTTAAGTGTATCATTCTGAAATAAGATATGAAATGGATATCCATCCAGTAGAAAATTAAGCCCCTGATAGAAACATGCTAAACTGCTATGAGAAGCTCAAAGCCCAAACCCATACCCTTCAATTAGTGTTGATTATAACCCACCAAAATTTTGAAATTCAAATGTCACATATTGGAGGACTTATATCTTTTATTTTCCCCCTTTTTCCCACTGATGAATCACAAAAAAACTGAACAGACCTCATTATATGTTTAGAAATGAGCAGTACCGTATGTGGAGTTGGATAGAGGTGAAGACAATGATCATAGTTCCAGATAATGGGTTGTACACTCAAAGGCAAAGGGCAGAGATGACTTTGATGCGTTATGGTAGCAACAAGCTGCAGTAAAGACACAAAAACGGCAACTTAAGCTCAATATTCAATGATAACAGTTATCACATACTTGATGATGAATGTGGAAGAACAGACTCACGTGCTCAAATGGATCACTGGTTTCTTCTGTAGATGGGGGCATTAGACATGCCCTGCGCATTCTATAAAGTATATCCTGACGGAAAAATATGATTTCTTGGCTATAAAACTTGATTCTGGTTTCCATTTCAAAGGTATGTTCCACCCGGGGGGGTGGGGGGTGAAAAGAGAACAAGGAGAGTAATTAGTACAATTGCAGATGGCAGATATTTAACTGATATTACAAGCTGCAATGCAAGTTCCAAGAGTGCATCCGCACATCATAAGACTAGGATATTAACTAGAATTCACAAAGCAAGAATTCAAGCATCACACATGATGCAGGATGCACTTCAGAGAACTAGACTCGAACTAAAGTTTTATGGACAGAGCAAAACCTGCATGGATTACTTGAGAATATTGAATTTGGAATGTATTTTTGAAGCTCCTCAGTTATGTAGTTCGGCAGAGGGCATCTAGGTAGAACTGTTGAAGGTCCTGAGTGAAACAGAAACGATTCCTCTTTGATATACAGTGCTTATGCAAGAAACTTTTAAGGAAAACCTGCAAAGATCTAATCAACATACCGACATCATCAGGACCAGGAATAAAAAGAAATCTACTAAGTTCTTTTAGACGTTGATGGGATGCAATCATCTGACCCAGCTTCCCAAATTGCGATCTGCATACAGCAATCATTTGTTAGCTCCCCCTACTCCACTAAGATCAGTGTCAATTAGAAACAAAAGAGACTTTTTCTCACCTCAGACTTGAGTAAGCATTAAAGGAAAGGTTACACGGATGAGAACAGAAATTTCCCATGAAAACAAACAGAGAAGGAACAACTTCCTCATTCTCGTAACCACTGAGGACGGTCTCGAGATTTCCTATAGCCTTTTCTCAGATTAAAGACCAACAATATCACACATCGATGTTCACAAGACAAGAAAACCAGTGAATCCATTAAATTATTATCTAAAGGAAAAGGGGAACACCTACCTCCTCATTATCCAGCCAAACATCAGAAAGAACAACAAACATGTCCTTTACAGCCCCAGTTTCTAGCTCTGCAAGTCTAAGCTATTGCAAGCGTCAAGAAAATTCGACCTTCATTCACTTTAAGTAAACTGAAATTTTTTTTTCACTATCAGGTATAAAAGGATACAGTCTCCTCTTTTGTAAGGGAACCACTCCCAAAATAGTCAAGTCCAGAAAACGATGCAACTGACTTTTCTCTGTCCTCTAGCGGAGGAAATCCACACGTTTTTACCTGCATAACATTATGGTACAAATTAATTAGCAGTCTGAACAAGAAATCAATACTAGAAGTGTTTTTTTAAAATTGACGACGTATGTAAAAATGGGAAGAAGTCCAAGGGAGTCCATAAATTGACAGTTGGGTTAATTTCAGCAAGTCGTGGTCATTTCATATGTTGCTATCAAGACACCAATTTCTGTTACAGAACATTTAACCCTTCTCTCCACAAATCTAGCTTATCAACTTTATTGCCATGAAATTAGGTCTTCGTTGAAATTTAATGGATATGGTTTAAGTGACATGTTCCTTACCTTAAACTAAAAATGCTATATACTTAGTGATTTTATACCGTATGGCTGTATATAAGCTTATTCAGAAATTGAAGGTTCCAAATTGTCTAGATTTATTAACAATAATGAATATTGATTTATTGAATACACCAAGACTACAGATATTTCAAGCAAAAGATAATCAATTCGTTTTGAGTAACGTTTTTTGGAACTCTGCCCGATACCATGCCCATACCATTAGTCTTTAATTTAGCTCATAGCGCTGACATACTGAAGTATTTTCAGTCCTCAAATATAGAGCCCGTTTGATTCCTATTTTCTAAGAGTGAGAATGAAAAATATAGCCGTTACGGGACCCACACAAAAGATAAAAAGTCAAATATGGTGGTTTGATGTGATGAATAACGATTATATTTTTCATTTTTGTGACCAAAGAATGGGAATCAAATGTGCCCATAGACTTCATTCCAATAATCTACTTATATTCACAACTTTTGTAAATGACCCTGCTTTAGAATCAATTTCATTTGCAAATCAATTAACCTGATTATAGTTGCAGTTATAACCGCAAAAAAATCTATAATCACAATCCCATTGTCACCTATATTAGAGCATATTGCCTAAGACAGTTCAAAGACAACAAAAAGATTCAAAGGCAGACTGGCAACAATAACCACAATGACTTTATAATTTCTTAAAGCTGATCATTTCATACTTCAGTATCCAGAATCAAACAATAATAAAACCCTTATTAGAAGGATCATAATTCCTAAATCACAGTGCTAATTTAGCTCAAAAACACAGCTGATAATAAATGTGCAAGTATCATGTGATAGTATCAAAGGAAATCACCGGTCAAAAAAAGGATCACAAATTAAAGAGACACCGACCTGGAAGATACCATTTAACAGCATCTCGCCTTCTGCTAGTACTATTGTGTTTTCCGAAAAAAATCCTGTTGTTATTCTGTGCTTCGTGTAAAGGAAAATTTTCATCTTTATAAATATTCTATTAACATCTGAAAGCTTTACAAACTGTAACTTTTTTCCTTTCAAGCCTTGAACCATCTCAGTTAGTTTTAGGAGCTCTACCAAGGAGTCACAGTACCAGTTTGTTTTAGGATACCCACCAAGGAGTCATTATTATGGGGTGGTTGAAATCCTTACAGCTTGTTCAACAAAAAAAAAATGAGGGGGGGGGGGGGGGATGTAAGGATATACTAGTGGAGGATAAAGCTAAATGAGGTTCTATGGCTGGATGTTTATATTCACACACATCCATACCCTTACTTGATATTCTGAGTGAATATATCTATTATAATATTTAATAAAAGTAAATGAATTAACTTATTTTCATGAACAAAAGGTTATTTGTAGTCCCAAAATTGTTAGCACTACTGTCTTCAGAAAAATTACTTGACAATTTTTGAGCAGGGAGTAAACAAAAATAGTATGTTTTGGAAGAGCAGACTTCATTGAATAATGTTATCTCTCAGCTGGTCAGCAGAATAGATTCTGGGGAAATCAAATAGCCTACTACATGCTAAAAGCCAGTTACTCATTCTAGCTGTATGTAACAAAACTCAGTGAAGAAAACAGATGATGAACTGAAATAGCAAAGGATATTGCATTGAATAAATCAATTTCCACAGCTGCAGTCAAGTCTTCCAAGTAGAAATGACCATCCTCCAATTGAGATATCAAACCCATCACCCATCTTTTTCCTCTTTGCCCAACAAGAGATTGAATTGTAGATATCTGCCAAATCATAAACAAAACTTTAGAAGATGAGCACTCTATAGTATAAGAGTTATGTTTATATAGGTGAGAGAGGAGGGATACCTGACAGCTTCCGTAATCAGAAATGTCAGTATCAAAAACTGGCCTAGAAAAATGGGGGTCGCGAGAAAGCCTCTGAAACAACAAGAGAAACCTATCCCTGTATAATGTGGCTTTGGCGGATGCATCGCCGTGAATTGGAAGCTTCCCTGTATGTCTACGGAGAATGAAAGAAAAAATCCAAAATCATTATAACAGTCATTAGTAAATGAAAATCTCCCCAGACTTTTTATTTATGGAACTAATACATCCAAAAATCAATAACTTTTAATGACACCCATTAACAAGTTTAGTTCCTTCCAAAGTTGATTAAAAATATAAGTGAAAAAAGGCGAAAGAACTATAAGACTGTTGTACATTTCCCTTTCGGAAAATAGGACTTCATTCTTCACCAAGTTGGTTCACGGCATCAGTACAATCTGGCGGGTGGATGCTTTATTCACCTAATTCTTACTCTTAAGAAACTAATTAAGGAAAAACTAACTAAAACGACAAAAGCTCATATTTTTAATCAAGCAAACAGTAAGCTCATCACCCTTATGGGTACCTTACCCCAAAATTATAGCAAAGACATCCACTCATAAATACAACTTTCAGAAATTACTAAAATGAGAGCAAAAATAAAATAATATGTACTCGTGAAAATTCTTCTTGATAGGATCATAATGAAATTTGGGGAAATCAAATGCATGAATTATCCGAAGAGCAGAAGCTGCTGAACCATAACCACTACTTGTTGGACTCTCCTCCACCGCGGCCTCGGCTTCCAGCAAAAGACTCACAACTCGGTGCACCGACTCCTTATCCAGTATCGAAGACTTCACTGCAACACAAAATTAATTCCAAACAAACGGTTTGAGCAAAATCAAATTTTGTTAGTATATAAAGTAATTCAAAAATCCATTTTCGGTAAAATAACTTAAAAGTAAAGATTTTACGGGAGGAGTGGTGGAGCTCGTCGAGGAGGAGATCGAGGGCTTCGTCTTCTGCTTCCGGGAAACGGCTAACAAATGAAAGTATTCCGGAGAGGGCTTCCACTTTCAGCGTGTAGCCTCTCATCTTGAATTTTCTTTGCACTTTATTTCTCATTGCACCACTCATAGCTCCTCAACTGAAATGAGAAATGAACAAAGGAGAAAATGGTTTATTCTCTCGATCTTCTCTTTCTAGTTCTGGATCTGCAGTTTCACGGTTCCCTCTGGGTGTGTGTCTGAGAGTGAGGAAATTGGGCGGGAGAGGCAGAAAATGGCGGGATTTGGGAGATTTGTGAATTGTTGACAGGCTAAAACCTACAGCCTGTTTGGAATGATTTTTTGGCTCAAAAAATTAATTTTTTTATTGTTATTTTATTATTTAAGTCGTATATTTGACTTTTTTTTTCACAGATATACCCATATTTCTCTTAATAATCAAAAAATCAACTCTTAAAATCAATCCTAAACAAACTCTTAAAAAAGGGTGATTATTGACCAGAAGAGTGTCCAGTCCAGGAGTGAAATAGATTGGGCTTCAATCTAGATACAATGGACTGGAATTCAAGCAAAAATCCCAATCCAAATATGAAAATCTTTTTGGACATGGTTCGCCCGATTTGATTTGAACAGAAATCAAATTTTTAGTAATTTTTGATAAAATATTTTAATTAAATGTGTGGTTGAAAAATCATAAGTTCGATAAAACATATGACTAAAATTAATTTTAATCTTGTTTTTAACTCAATCAGACAGAAACTTCATAAGAACCGATTAGATTTGGTTTTCATTTTCTTAGGGATAAATGACAAAAATGTCATGTTCTTGTTTTAAATTTTCTTTCTATTGTCTCGAGTTAGGTGGACCCTTTTTCTCCTTTATTCTCTTGATAATAGGAAAATGTACAGGGCATTTCCTACAGAGGTCCTACCGAACTCTCACTATAGGGGCTATCCCACATGCTAAAAAGAAAAAAAAAATTACATTGGGGTCCGTCATGTGTGTTGTCTGATAGGGGCCTGTGTACATACAACATGATCCCTTGATAATATTGTTGGGAATAACAATTCATATGTAAACACCCTCCCACGCTCGCCCCCAACAAAAAAAATATATAAAAAAATGTCACGTTTTCAAGGGCTGTAGAAATAGTTTAAGTAATTTTCCCGTGTTGGCTTTTTAAAAGAATTATTGAGGGGATGTTTAATAGATATTTTTATGTAAAAATATATTTTAGAATAGTAAATTAATGTGAAATATGTTGTTGAAAAATAAGGAAAATTTTTTTATTTACGTGTAATATTATTTTAATAAAGAATGTGTGGTTGAAAAACAGAGAGAGAGAAATGCATTTAAAAAAAAAATGGCTACCAAACGGGCTTGAATATAAGGTTCTCAAAATTCGTTGTAAAAAGGATTTGAAATCTGATAGCAAAAATAGCAAATTTAAGATTTATCTGATTTTTGAAACTATACACCTAATATTCCATAGTTGTGCTAGTCCTTTTTCTCTATGTTATTGTTCAAGTATCATGCTATTTATACAAAGTATATTTACAAATTTGGTTGACAAAATAAGTGTTGGCAAAATCGTGGGCATTGATTTTCAATGATTTAAAATTTATTTTTGAAATGATTGGTGTAAATAATACTTTATTAACTAACTTTGTACATATAGCATAACTCATTGTTTAATACTTGTATTCATATCATTCATCCGAACTAAAATCTATCATGCGGGGCCTTTAATAGTTATATAGTCAAACTTCTTAAGCAAGTTTAATTAATTTAATGCAAGTTCAACCCTGTTTGTTACTGATTAAAGTATAGATTTAATTTAAATCAAAATCAACAATTAAATTTAACCACGTATTTTATAGGTCTCACAAATTTTCAATCACACATTTCACCAACTTCTATCAAAATTTAAACATAGGGCTTAATTTTTATTTCATATTAAACACTTTTTTGATTCCCCTTAAAATTTTAATGTTTTTCAATAAAATAATATTACACATAAATTAAAAAAAATTCATTCTTTTTGAATCACTTATTTTCTCAAAAACTATTATTCCAAAATATATTTTATCAAAATTTCTTTTCAATCCTGCTGTACAAATAGGGGCCTTTGACAGGATTGAAGTGGTGAAATTTCAAATCAGAGGTTGAGGTGGCCTCCTGTCACAAGAATTTATCAAAGGTCCTTGTTTGAGTAGCAAAATTCCGTTTTTTATTATAATAGTTGTCAAGACTCGAGGGCTAAAATGTTTGACCAACTCTAGACGCGTGAAATTAATGTAGCAGGGTAATGTACAAGTCGATGTTGTAGCAAAGGAAGAATTAACATCAACAGATAATTAATAATAAACTGTATGATGGTTGACAAACAACGTGAATAAAATATTGCCACCGGTAAACAACCTAGAATTTCTGCAACTGCAACATGTTACACGGTGAAAATTGTTATTGGGAGATTTTTATGGCACTTTTGAAAGATACCATTAATTCGTATGTTAAAAAATTGATAAATTTTAAGTCAAAATCAATAATATTATGATTCATAAAATTTACAGTTTTTTAATTATATATTTTATCAAATTTTATTAAAATGTTAAAAAACATTAATTTTAACTACTTCACACGTGGGCTAAATCCAATGTCTATCCGGATGCGAAACAAAAAAAATAAAATAAAATTGATGGCTAAATTTAAAACGTAGAGAAGTTCACCGACTTCACATATCAAAATGAAACACACGTAATAAATTTGAGCGAGTACAGGAGTTTTTGTGAAGGGTAAGTCCCTTGATTCTAATAAAGATATAATAGATATACTGAATCTCAAGTCAAATGAGAATAAGGGGTGTTTGATTGCTATTTTTATGTAAAAATGTATTTTAGAATAGTAATTTGATAGAAAGTGTGTGGTTGAAAAATAATGAAATTTTTTTTATTTATGTGTAATACTATTTTAATAGAGAATGTGATTGGAAAAAAAAATATATTTTAAAAAAAATGAGTACCAAACGAGGACTAAATAAATATGTATTGATTAATAAGGGTATTCGCCGGCTTTTTAGGACGAGTCAATCGTGGAAACAGGAGAGATAAGAAATAACAAAATTTGTAACAATATTGTCTTTGTTTGGTGTAAATTAATATTTGAGTTTTAGTAATTTTTTATAAAATTGGCTGAAAGGTGATTTAGGGGACGTTTGTTTCTCATTTTTGTAAAAATGAGAAAAAAAATGTAGCTGTTATAAGTCCACATAAGAGGTAGAAATTCAAATTTAGTGATTTGATGTGATAAATAATGGTCATATTTTTCATTTTAATAGGAAAAAAATAAAAAATAAACATGGGCTTCGAATGTGTTTGAACTCCATTTAGTGGGAAAAATAGATTTATATCAGTATTTTTTTTTTTTTTAGAACGTGTGGTTAACGGGTAAGAAAAAATTTTCAATTTAAGCATAAAATAATTGTATTTAAAAATGTGTGATTCAAAATGAATTAAAAAAAAAATTTAAATAATGGGCGTTCCAATGCGGCATTAAAAAGGTGTACACCTTGGTGACATAGTAGTATACAAGTAACGTTCTTTCATTGACCGGTGAAAAAATATTTGTTTTTCACCTCATCCATTTGGTAGAATAGTCGTTTAAAAAAAAAATGAAGAAATAAAGAAATCAATCTTGACTATCCATGTACGTGTATTTATTTCTTCGGTGTCTCTCTACCAATTCGGAAACTAGGAAAAGTCTTTCTGGCGTATTGTACTTTCCAGAAATCTGAATGAGTCTTGAGCTTAGAGACATTTCCATTTTCTTTGCTCTAATCTTACTCCATAAGCTTTATTAAGTAAAGACCGGTGCTTCAAGTGGTGGATTTCGTTCTGTTTTCTCAGTTTTGAGAAACACAGGTGTTTTCTCAGCTTTTAGTTTCATTTCCCTTTTTCTTATCTGGGTTCACTCTTTTGGCACTATAAAAATAGGATTTTTCATCTTAAAAAGGTAAATTCGTGCTTTTATTGCATGATTTTCTTACTTTTTGCTGTCGTTATTTTATTCGTAGACATGTTTTTGTGTCTCATAAACTGTCGAATGTTAGTAGTGCCCACTCTTCGCCAAGAACAAGTTTTTGCTAAGATTACAAAAGTTCATGGAAGTTGATTAGATATTATTACACGTCCGATGTATAACGTGAAAGCACGCGTCACATTCTAAGCCTGTTTTGCCGTGATAGTTAGGCGCATGGTATTAGGCTATCAGGGCATGTGTGTGCTAGAAATGGTTTGGATTTGTTTCTCTAGCCTTTTTTGGAGGTCAAGAGCCTAGCAACTCGAGTCCTGGTGCTGAGGGAGATTGTTTTGGGGAATGGTTCAACTTATTTAAAGATTCTATACAATTGTAAGTACTAAGAGAGTTTAGGCGAAGGAATAGGGAAGGGAAATGTTAAAACGATTTGTTAACTCGAATATTTAGTCACATATAACATCAGTGGAAAAACAAATGTTATTTTTGATTACTTGATGCGGAGATATATGTGTTCAAATTTTACCCAATCTGCTGATTAATGAAGCAGTGTGAATGCCAATCCATGCTATCATGGTGTAGCCTGTCTGCTACGGTAGGACCAACAGCATTTAATGTGATTCAACAGCTGTTCTTTGGCCACCAACTCAATAATTTGTGTCACGGTATGTGGCGATGATGTGGTGTGTGGACACAAGAGCATTCTTAAAACACTTAGACGACACTATGAGAAACATTTACTTAGTAAAAAGTAGCTAATCATCATTATTTGAAGAATCCTTGTGAGTACAGCTTGATGTAAATGGTTAAATGGTTGAACTGGAAAATGAAAATAATATGGTCAATGATCTTACTGTGAATTGCTGGAATAGTCTCTTCCTGTCGTACTTAACCTGCGTGTTGCCTGCCTGTTTTGTTTCTTTAATATAAGAAAATAAATCTAGCGAAATCTGAATATATTGACTGTTACACATGGTGTGTTATCAAGTAGTTTCATAGGTAGCGGTGATGAGGAATGGAGCATCCTACTTATTTTAAAGTAATGATGCAAAAAAGTAACTGTAGACAGAAAGCTATATGATGAACTTTTTGCATTTCTTTATTTTTATCTTTTCTCCACTTTACACCTTTACATAGGTTTTGAAAAACTAATTTGCATCCGCTGATGAACTGAATCACATTACACTTTAAAATATATAAGCTGGTCTGGTTCCGTGTTTATTAAATTCTGAGGTAACAAATTTATTGATAGATGCCTGAACATTACATTGTACCCTATTTTTAATTAGAAAGACAAGCAAGGATTCTCAAAAAGTATTTTAACTGTCATTTTTCAAGCTTGAAAGTGTTATCTTTATTTCCCCAAAACATTCAATTTGTTTCTAATTGTTAATGTTCAATATTACATTTAGTTCTGTTGCAGGCATATTATCTGAAAAAAATGGATTCTTCTGAAAAGGATGAGGTACCCATGCTATCAGCAATGTATTCGCAAGTCTATGAGAGCAATGAATCTTCAGCTAGGGGTTTTTCACCCTGGACCAGGAGTGCATCAATGTCTATTCCTGTGAACTCTATGGACTCCTCTGAATATGAAAACAATCTTGTAAGTTACACTGGTCCTTTAAGAAGTGAAAGAAGGACATCATTTATACAGAGGAGTGGTCCGTTATACGCTGGCCGTAGACATGTTGGCACCATTCAGTCTAAGCAAGGGTCTTCAAGGCAGAAAAGCTCGGAGCCCAAAGTAGAAAAATATCCTTCGATTAATGGGAGGGATCGGAATGATTGGCCAGATGGGAACTACATGGGGAAAAATGAACATCTTTTGAGGTCTGGGCAACTGGGGATGTGCCATGATCCATACTGCACAACATGCCCAACGTATTACAATTTTACAGGGAACCAGAAGAACTCAAGAATGTCTGATACATTTGATGCTAAGGTATTATGCACATTCTTTCTTTCTCCTTTTTTTTGGGGAGTGGTGGGGAATCCCAATTTATGTAGTATCCATAAACAAGGATATTTGATTGCCATGGTCCTAGCATAAGTAGATTTATAGGGAAACCTATTTCACAGATCACGCGAGCATTCTTCCGCCTTAATCACTAGTCTTGGGAATCTTGGCCTTTACATTTTATCATTTTTTGTATGCAGTTTTATTGCTTCTAAAAGAGTTTGAGGGAGTTTCTAGTCTTACGCATGCATTGATAACACAGTTTTATGGATGTTCTCAGAAAATTCTGTTTGGATGAATATCTTAGTTACATGTCAAATCTATTAAACTAATAATATACCAGTTTAAGTCATATGTGCATAGAAATTAGAACTCCTACATCATTAATAATATGCTTGATTATATGGAGTTATTCAATTAACATCAGTAAACAGATTATTATGAATTTTAAATCAAGCCACTCGATTGGGATTAGGGAATATAACTAACGAGTATATCCTGGACAAATAGTGAATTGATAATATTACATAAAACAGTAGAAGTCTGACAATTTTAGTGTTTCAGAGGAAGTGCGGTAGTTCTTTATAAAATCATGGGCGTGCTAGATATTGATGGAATATGGCAAGTAGTTCTTCTCATTAAGTGACTAGTGATGTAACAAGTGACCGCTCTTCTAGACAGTGATTTTAACAAACTTTTATTTTCTTAAGAAAATATTTTCTCTAAGTCAGTTCTCCAATGTATTGGATACTTTACGTGTTCTTAACATAGTTCAATTATTTGTTAAAGGTGAAACTATATAATTGATTGCTCTAAAACTAATTTCTTCTCGGCATCTTTCAATTTTGAGTTAATTGTTTCAATGGTCACTGAACTTAGGTTTATGTCTTTGATTGGTCACTTAAGTTTAAAATGTCGAGTTTTGGTCACTGAACTTAGGTCTATGTCTTTGATAGCTTACTGAAGTTTAAAATGTCGAGTTTTGGTCACTGAACTTAGGTCTATGTCTTTGATAGCTTACTGAAGTTTAAAATGTCGAGTTTTGACCACTGAACTTTGAAAATTGTTGAATTTTGGCCATTGAATTTAGGTTCATGTCTTCGATTGCTCACTAAAGTTTAAAATGTCGAGTTTTGACCACTGAATTTTGAAAAATATTGTACATTCTTCACTGAATTTTGAAAAATATTGTACATTACTCACTGTAAACTCGATATTTTTCAAAGTTGAACAGTTATGCTAGTGAGTAACGTACGCGGCATATTCCAAAGTTCAGTGACCAAAATTCGACATTTTAAATTTCAGTGAGCAATTTAAGATATGGACATAGGTTCAATGAGCAATCGAAAACATTGACCTAAGTTCAGTGATCAAAACTCGATATTTTAAATTTCAGTGACCAATAAAAGACATGGACCTAAGTTCAGTGGCCAAAATTCAATATTTTTCAAGTTCAACGGCCAAAACTCGACATTTTAAATTTTAGTGACCAATCAAAGATATGGATTTAAGTTCAGTGATCATTGGAACAATTAACTCTTCAATTTTTTAGTATACAATTGTCTGCTTTTAGACAGGCAGAGTTAGTCAATTGGCTCATGCTATTTGATTTTCACGTGTCTATTTGTAGTTCCACAATATGATTTATGGTGATGCAAAAGGTTGGGCAAAGAGAATGTATTCTTTTTTTCGTCGTTATATTCCAGGAGTCATGAATCCTCATGCAAAAATAGTTCAGCAGTGGAACAAGTTCTTTGTGATCTCTTGCTTATTTGCAGTATTTCTAGACCCGCTGTTCTTTTTCCTACTGGCAGTGTTGCAGGTAAATTTTTAAAAGTTGGTTGGCTCGTATTATACACTTGAATCCATTTTAAGAGTACATGCCTTCTATAACAATTAATGGTTATTACGTTATTTGGTTTCTCATTATAGACAACGGAAAACCAAACTGAAAGTGTGCTAGAAAACACATAGCGGTTTGTTTAAATAGATATATTTGGGGGGTCCTTTACTATCCTAACTATAATATACTTCAGAAATTAGCATTTTTTTGCTGATTTAATATGTTCAACAATTAATTTTAACTTATTAGTATGATATATTATTTATTAAGTTGGAGTTTTATTTTATGAAGTTGTTAACTTGTTATCTAGTTGGATAATATGCCATATTGAACGATCCATTTGGAAAATATTCTGGCTATGCCACTTAGCAAGGTCAAAATTCATTCACTGTTCTGCAAGTTCTGGGTGATGACCATAGGTTCGTTTCAGATTTAGTCAGTCGGAACTGTAAAAGTTATATATTTTTCCAACTATGCACTTGACTTGCTGAAAATTTAAGATTGACTTTCTGTCACTGTTGCAGTTCTTTTTTTGACCATATTGTTTATAGTTGAGTGATGCTTTACTTCAAGCTTAGGTTACCCAATCATTCTATTTTATGCACTGACTTTGCTTTAATATAAATCAGTGTGCTCAATGGAGACTTTTAAACATGGAAAAAAAATAAAATAAAATCAGTCATTACAGCAAAAAAATGCAAGATCAAAATATTGTCAAGGTATTCAATTTATCCTTTGACTCGATAATCCTCATTGTGAGGGTTCCTTTGTATATATAGGAATAATAAGGCAAATTACACGGCTGAATGTTAGCTATACAAATGGAAACTAAGCAATTTTCTACCAATTACAACTATGCGATAATTACTCATCTAATTGACATCCCCCCTCAAATTGATGCTCGGTGATCAAGAAGTATCAATTTGCCCACAAGAAAGAGATGACGTTGTCGTGTCATGGCTTTGGTGAATATGTCAGCAATCTGTAGATCAGTAGAGATATGCGGAAGAGAAATAATATTTGCGTCAAAAGCTTCTCGGATTGAGTGACAATCTACTTCAATATGCTTTGTACGCTCATGATATATTGGATTTGCAGCAATCTGAATAGCACTCGTGTTGTCCGCATGAAGGGGTGTAGGATCAGACTGAGGAAAGCCAAGTTCAGCTAAAAGTCCTCGGAGCCACATAATCTCAGAACAGGCAACGGACATGGCACGGTATTCGGATTCAGTTGAAGATTTAGACACACATGCGGATCAGGAAGGAGCTCACCCTCTTCACGACGATATTTAACATTGACTTCCAGAGGAGTATCGACAGAAGAAGAATCTTGAAGACCAGCCAAAGTGATCAAGTCTTGGATGCATTTGTGTTGGTTCAAGAATATACCTGTAAAATTAATATGTACTTTCAACCCCAAAAAATATGTAAACGGACCAAGATCCTTCATGTGAAAGGAAGCTTGTAGATACTGCTGGAGTTGAGTGATCAACCCAGAATTCGTGTCAGTGATAACAATATCATCCACATACACAAGTAAAAGAACAATATCTGTAGATGTCTTACAAAGAAATAGGGAGGAGTCATACTGACTCTGGATAAAAGAAAGCTGTAACGAAGTAGATCGAAACTTCTCAAACCATGCTCGAGGAGCCTGTTTCAGCCCATAAAGAGACTTCTTCAGCTTACATACTTGTGAAGAAGAGGAAAAAAGGCCCGGAGGAGGTGTCATGTAAATATCTTCCTTGAGATCACCATGAAGAAAATCATTTTTTGACATCCATTTGGTGAAGAGGCCACCCCTGAGAGGCTGCAATAGAAAGAATAGTGCGCACTGTAGTCATCTTTGCCACTAGAGCGAATGTCTCATCATAATTTACCCCATATTCCTGTTTATTTCCGAGAGCAACTAGGCGAGCTTTATAACGATCCAGAGTTCCATCAGAACGAAGTTTAATAGAATATACCCACTTACAACCAATAGCCTTGACATTGGGTGGATAAGGAACAACATCCCAAGTATGATTATCCTGAAGTGCTTGAAGTTCTTCATCCATAGCCTTCCGCCACCATTCATGTTTAGCTGCTTCTGAATAACTAGGGGGTATAGATGTCAGTGTAGTGGCAAATGAATGAAAAGAACCATATCTATCAGGCGGGCGAGAAATACGGGTAGATCGTCGAGGACCCGGTTCAGGAGGTACATTAGTATCCGATGCCAACTCAGGCTCAGAAGAGTGGGGTTGGACAAGATCAGATGTGAGGTCAACTTCAGGAAGAGGCCTATTTGGTCGACGTCTCTCATACACGAGTTCGGGCTTGAATCTTTCAGGATGAGAAGTCAAATCACCAAAGCATGGGAGAATACTAATTTCAGGTAAATGTTGAGCATGAGTATGAAAGAAAGATTGTTGCTCAAAGAAAACAACATTACGAGAAATGCGAAATCTGTTAGAACATGGATCATAGCGAACATATCCTTTGTGCGAAACACTGTAGCCCATAAAAGCACACTTAACAGATTGTGCAGAAAGCTTGTGTCGTTCATGAGAAGGTAAATGAACAAAACAAATGCACCCAAAAGTATGCACGTCATGATAAGTAGGATGTTGATTATGAAGGCGATAATATGGAGAGTCAAAGCGTAAACTTTGGGAAGGCAATCTATTGATTAAATAAACTACAGTGGACACTGCTTCAACCCAGAATTTTGAAGGAGGGAATCAAGTAATAATGTACAAAAAATATCCAGTACATGACGATTTTTTCGTTCTGCCACCCCATTTTGTTGAGGGGTATAAGGGCATGATCGTTGAGACAAAATCCCTTTTTGTTTTAAGAAATCATGAAACTCATGGGACATATATTCTCCACCTGAATCAGATCGTAAAATTTTAATACTGGCGGAGAATTGGGTCTCAACATATGTCACAAAGGTCTGAAAAATTAAAAGTACTTCAGATTTAAGACGGAGAAAACAGATCCATGTGTATCGGCTATAATCATCAATAAAAGTCACGAAATATTTATACTGGGCATGAGAGGTGATAGGTGAAACGCCCCAAACATCACTATGCAGAATATCAAAGCTCTTTTTGGCACGACTACTGTGAGAAGGAAAAGGAAGAGTCTTATTCTTTCCTAATTTGCATGTAGAACAATCAAAACACAAATTATGAGAAGAATTATTTTTATACCCAACAAACCAGAGTTTAACAAATGAGACAGGATAGTGGAGTTTGGATGTCCCAAACGTTTGTGCCAAACTTCACTTTTATTGTTAACAGTTATACAAGCCAAAGATAAGCAACTAGGAATAGAAAAATGTAATGGAAACAATCGTCCAATTTTAGGCCCCTTCGCTAGTATCTTCCCCGACACCTGATCCTGCACAAGAACACCATCAC